GTCATACTGCTGTAAGAGCTCTTGATGTCGATGGTGCCACTGTTGTTCAGTCAAGCTTACAGTTAAAGATGCAAGCGTGGGGCTGATTTGATTTCCAATGGCAGCGCCCCTTTGTTGCTCGTAAATCTTCTGCGAAACAGTGAAGAACGAGCATTTGCAACTTAGCTCGCAATGGAAACTATATCTCGCAGCTTGATAGAATACATACGTACACCACCTTGTCTCGGTCTACTTCTCCATACACGTAGTTTGGTGTCCTTCTCTCTTAAGGACACTGTCAGGATTGCAACCATTGTTGGATGTGAAAGTCTCAACCAACCACTCAACACTGCGCAAATGCGTTCCACAGGAATTGAAGTAAAGAATCCAACTAAATCCTGGTTGTACGTGCGTAGTTGTTGATCATCAGGATATTGTTCCAGAAACTGAATAAGGCTCTGTACCATCTGCGGAAAAGTTTGAATGCCGTAAGATCGTGGAAGGCATTCTTTTTGTAATAGATCCAAAACAATGGCTGTAGCCCGAAACAGTTTAGCAAAGATGAACCTGGGTTTAGGGCAACCCTGAAGAAACCTAAGAACCCTGGAGACAACCCCAGCACAATCAGACCATATGCAAAAGCATCCCACGGAAGCTTCAACACACATGACAGCAACAAGGAGGGCATAGATTTCAGCCCTAAAGCTGGTCTGCAAGATACCAGGCAGTGGACCTGCTTGCAAGACCTGCGGTGTGGACTGAGCACTGGAGGCTGCAAGGGCAACAGCCCACGCTGCAATACGCAATGGACGATGCTGCGGCAAAAGGCAGGAGCCATCAACAAACAAATGTGAGAATTGGGTCAACTTCACCAACCCACTCAATTTGTCGCGAGTAGGACTGCATCTTATGCAGTCCCTGAGGCTGAATCGCCCAGGCATGTTCACACTGAGCTGCAGGCAAATCCGACAGGTCGAAGCTGTGACTCCCTGCGAAAACCCCATTTATAGGTTCTCAACCAGGATTGTCGTGTTATAGAGTCCAAGAATTGAATCAGCGATGGTCTCTCTAACGGGCACGTTTGATATACCTCGGGGTCTTCAAAAGTGTCTCGAACTGTCTTCCAGAACCTCCAAGGACAATAAACATGACAATGCGAAAGTGCATGATCTCTGCCATGTGCCACACGTGGTCCAATTACAGATCGAATAAACGCAATATCCCGATATGATGGTAGTCCAGGCGGCGTTCTGATGCTGCTTCCACTGTTGTGAAATAAATTGCCTCCATTGCTGAAATTGCAACGTATGAATACCATTCTTCAAGGACCAATTCTGAACAATCTGCCATGTGTCTTCAATGTACTGCTCGAAATTGGGATAAACGGAGGTCATAGCCGAATGCTGTAAAAGTGTCTGAAGTCGTCTGCTAACTGACAACATTGACGCGGGACTTGCAATATGACCTTCCACCGTTGACAAGTTTGGATGTTCTTGTAGAAGTCGCTTGCAAGGACACTGTGGGGCAATATCAACTCGCCATTGTTGAAAATGTCTTTGATGGTTGTGCAACAGGTCAGCAATTAATTTATGCTTCCTTATGGAAGGGTTCGTGGTCGCCTTAAGGTCTGCAAGGTTGCTGCTCATGAGGACGTGTCAGATGCTACTGACTTGGTTCACGAGTGGGCTATACTGCAGAATGCCGCTGCTGATACTGCCGCGAAGTGTGCAAACCAGAGCCGTCCGGCAAGTTTTTGGCATGACTGGAATGCATTGCGGACCTCATACAATGCTGAGGTTGTCAAGGCTGATGCAGTGGTAGGGTTGCATGTGGCGATTGGTCTCAAGGCTACGAGAGAACGGCAGTGCTGTCCACGCTCCTTGCAGCAGCGTGAACAACGACCACCGGACTCGGCCGCGTGTTTCAGCGGGGTGCGTGACCTTGCTACTCCCGCGTTGGTGCAGCGGTTTGGCGCTGACTATGTCATCAAGCTCAAATGGTGGATGCAAGAGGCATTTCGACTTCCTTCGCAGGATATCCGCCCGACTTGGATGTCGGCTGTTGAGTTGCTCTTCTCCTTCCTGCTCTCGGCAAAGTTTCTTCCACTGGTGTATAAGGCTGATCGCAAACAGTGGCAGAGAGGGCCTCACTTCATTGCAACAGTTTCTCAGCGCAGTCGGTGGTCCTTGCAACAGCTAAAGGCCGTGGCGCGTTGTGCTGGTCATCCTTTGGGTTTCGACATGAGGTGGTCTGACTGTGCCTCCATTGGAGGTTAGCACAGTTGTACTGCTGTTGCCATGCCTCCCGTGATGAAGGAGGAGTTCTACAGCTACCTGCACAACAAGATTGGTTCCTGTGCTGGCTCCTGGTTTGAACGGTGGCGCTGTTTGCCTCTTCCCTCTTCTTGCTGGAGGTGAGATTTCCGGATGCTTTCTACCTCGGACATAGGGGTTGCTCTGCTGGAGCCGAGCTGCACCCGCGCCCGAAAACTGTGTGAAAACTGGGTTTAGGGTTTAGGGTTTAGGACGGGTAGCCCGCATATTAGCAAGCAATGATTAGGGTATGGGCCCGGTATGGGGTTTAGCGTTTAGGATTTAATGATTAGGATGTACCATACCAATTTCATTCGCCCACCATCCCACGCGAAGCTCCGAAGGAACCTTGTCCCACCGTGTCAACGCAAAATCTTGAATGCCAATTGCCTTACCCTAAACCCTAAACGCTAAACCCTAAACCCTAAAGTCTTCACTGTCTGTTCCATGTTGGCAGGAAGTTTTTGGCATGCTGCGAACATGGTGCTTTCCGCGAGCCAGCTAGTACATGTAGCCAACGAATCGGTACTCTCAGTGAACGAAAGCTAGTGGTGTCTAAACTGGATTTGTGCGGATACCTGGTAGTTTCCCAAAATGAGGGGACGCCAATAAAGATCCCAAAATACGATAATCTTAGACCTTAAACCCTAAACCTTACCTAAACCTGAAGCCCCCAAGTCTAAACCCTAAACCCTAAGCCCTAAGCCCCAAACCCTAAACCCTAAACCTAACCTAAATCCGAAGCCCCAATCCTAAACTGTTTAAGGTGTGTCATGCAAGTGCCCGCAGCTCGAGCTGGCTTATCGTTGCAAGGGAAGACAACCCTGGGCTCCCCCCCACTTCAATCCACGAAGCTACTGTAGAAGTCTGAACCATGATAAAGGTTTAGGGTTTAGGGCCTAGATTTCTGGGCGTATTGCGTAGCTATAGTGTAGGACGCCTTAACCAGACTTCAAATTATAATGGTGAATATTGACGCCCTGACCTTATGCAGTTGAAGCCTTTAAGTAAAAGGACCCTAGTGGGAACCTCAAAGCAGAGAACCCCATGAATATAGTAGGAACATGATAGAATATGAGGATCCTGGTAAGCATATTCCCGTATATTCCTGTTCTATTCTTGGGGTTCTTCTTAAAATCCTTTTATTAATATTGACTCCACAACCTAAAGCCCACGCGGCGCCATCGTCAACATGGCGGCTTCTCTGGCTCGAAACTGGGTTGCGGTTCAAGAACTTACTACGCCAGAATAATCATATCATTGTTAAATAACTAATTAAATATATAGATATACATCCATGTCCTATCTATCTCTCTCTATATTTATATATATCGTATTAATTTTTCCTGTTTTTCCTCCTTTTAGTGGTAGCTTGATTCAAGTTCCTTAGCAGCAGCCCAGGAAATTTCGGGAGGGCGACCGCTGCGGCTGCTTTTGCAGCAAGCGCCTTGCTGGTGGTGAAGGTCATCAGAAGCTTGGTCTTGTACATCAGGGTTTAAAGGGTTTAGAGTTCAGTTTTTCCCCGCGTTCTTTGCGGGGTTCTAATTTTCACTGCGGTGTCCCGACGCCATTGGTGCGCCTCCGCCCTCCTCCTCCACGTTCTCCGCACCCTTTCGGTACCCACCTCTCCCTCTCCCACCCTTTAACACTGCTCCTCCACACTCTTCCAGACCCTCCGAGCACCATCTCGCTACCCGCCTCTCCTACCTTTAAACTCCTTTTCCAGACCCTTCCAATCGCAGTACTCGTTTAAACTCCTCTTCCAGACCCTCGCTTTGCCAGCTTGGTACCCATCTCGGGTCCCGGCCGCTCCGCCCTCTGCTTCCCTTCAATCTTTGACACCCTCCACCCCTTGCCCTTGCCCTCGTGTTCCGACATTTGCTGCAATACGCCGCGATTCCTTGTCCTCGTACAACTCATTTTTTCTCGTCGTCGCCGATGGCTGTCCTTTCTTACCATCCCTTCTTGATCGCCTTCTTCTTCTCTCTTCTATTCCCTGTTTAGTTTCTGCTTGAACTACACATGTGCGGTTATCCGGTCCTTGAATTGGTGTTTTGGGGCTTAGGATTGTACAGGGTTTGGGGTGTGTCAGCGAATCAAGTGTCCCAAAGATGGACAACGAAATGGAAATTGGGGCTTTCATGACGGTTTTGTAGGGGTTTATGTGCTGGTTGTTAAACAGGCATGGAAGAATGGCAGAGCACGTGAAAATTTCTATTTACTGTATGGGGACACAAAATTGGTAACTACCAAAATATGAGGGGTTTAGGGTTGCAGGTTCAGGAAAATGAAAATGTATCAGCGGGGAGTATGTAGGGTGTGCTATAGGTATCCTTCTCCATACTAGCAATGCCTCAGTTCTTCCCTGAGGGTCCATGGTTTGAACTAAAGATTAGCTGTAGCACCAAGTTTTGCCTGGCACGGGACGTTCCCCAAGGTTCTTGGATCCTTTATGTCAACTCGGTGTTTCTTTAACCATACCCTTTGGATAAGAGACTTGATTGAATCTAAATTGCCAGGGTTTAAAGGGTTTAGGGTTTGGGCACCAAAACCCCTAAAACCCCAAACCCTTGCCCCTCTCCAAGTGGTTCCAACAAGACAGGAATCAAGCTTCGCCGCGGGCCCAAAAACTTCAAGGCTTATGTGCCATTGGAACGGCCGTCGGCCAAGGGGGAAGATTGCACTCGCGACCGCTTTTCCTCCAAGAAGCTTCCCAAGAGCTTCCCGACAGGATTTGGTAGTTACCCTAAATAGGGGACTGCATTATAGACCCCCAAATATTATAATCCTTATTATGGGAACCCGCGAAGAGGTAGCCGTAATCTTGGGAAAGCCTCATTTCTGGTAAGACTCATTTTCAGCAGTACATTCTGATGCGCAAAGAGCTTAGGTTTAGGGTCTGGGGTAGAAGCTTTGGGTAAGCTGTGCACTAAACCCTAAACCCTAAACAAGGCATTGACGTTGTGGTGGTTGGCTCGGGCATTGGAGGTTTGTATCTTGCAGCCTTGTTGGCTAAATCTGGACGTGTGGTTGTGGTCTTGGAGCAGCCTTCTTGACTCCATTCATTTGAGCTTTGTAGAGCAGATTATGTAGGGGAGTATTATAGGGGTTATTGGGGGGATGCTAGGAGTTTAGACTATAGCTCATTTGTTGTTAGTGGCCAAACGTCAAAGAAAAAGGCGTGATTGGTAAGTTGTAGCCGGTACAACTTGCAGCTGGTATGCAGTCAAGGCATTACGTCGCCGGTGGCTGCACGCATGAGTTCACGGACAAAGGGTGGACTTTTGACACAGGTGTGCATTATGTGGGACGCGTGGAGAAGTACAGCTGCCTGCTATTCCTTGGCAACGTGTTGATCTATTGGACTTGATATTCCCCTCCCTCAACGCTAAAACCACCACCCCCTCATATTACATATCCCCAAGACATTATAGTATACCACCCCAACACTAAAGACTCCCCACCCCCTAGTTTTACATATTTCCATTGTGGTATTCTAGAATAACTAACGAATTCTTTGGGTATAAATTAGGTGTGTGTGTGTGTGAGGGATTCAAGACAGGGGGGAAGGGGATTAAGCATGCTTGTCGGGCAGCGAGCTGTTCCATAGGCTAATAGTAGGGTTTAGGGTTCAGGATTTAGGCTTTAGGGTTCACGGTTTACGGTTTAGGGTTCAGGATTTCGGATTTAGGGCTCAGGGTGCAGGGTTT